CGCTCACCGTCACCGCAGCCACGATCTGCTGTTCTCAGGCAATCCTTCCGCCTCAGCCTCCCAAGTGGCTGGGACTACAGGCACACACCACCATGCCCAGCTATTTTTGATTTTTTTGTCGAGATAAGGACTCGCTAAGTTGCCCAAGCTGGTCTGAACTCATGGGCTCAAGCAATCCTCCAGCCTTGGCCTCCCAAGGTGCTGGGATTACAGGCGTGAGTCACTCTGCCTGGCCAAGTCTGCACATTTTTTAAAAACACCAACTCCCAGGTCTTCAAACAAAACCTTACTCATAGCAGCACCACCCACAACCGCCAAAAGTGGAAGCACCTCACACAATGGAATATGGTTCGTCCATTAGAGGGAAAGCAATTCTTTCCTCTTCTTTTCTTTTTGTTTGAGTTGGAATCTCACTCTGTTGCCCAGGCTAGAGTGCAGTGGCATGCTTACAGCCACTGCAGCCTCGCTCTGCTGGACTCAGGCGATCCTTCCGCCTTAGCCTTCCAAGCAGCCGGAACTACAGGCGCGCGCTACCATGCCCGGCTAATTTTTTTATTTATTGTAGAGACGCAGTCTCGGCAAGTTGTCCAGGCTGGTCTCAAATCTCTGAGTTCAGGCAATCCTCTTGCTTTGGCCTCCCAAAGTGCTGGGATGACAGGCTTGAGCCACCGCACCCAGCCAGGAACGCAGTTCTGACACACGCTACAATGTGGATGGATGTGAACACACTGGCTAAGTCAGACACAAAAGGTCATGTATTGTACTATCTCATTTATACAACGTCCCGGAACAGGCAACTCCACAGAGACAGATAGGAGACAAGTGGCTGACAGGATGGGAGAGGAAGGGAAGGAGGAGGGGCTGATGAACGGGGCTTCCTTTCTGGGGTGATGAAAAGGTTCTGGAACTAGAGAGTGATGACAGCTGTCCAGTATTGTGAATGCACTCAAGGTCACTGAATTGTGAACTTCAACATGGTTAAAATGGTGAATTTTGTGTTATGTGAATTTTACCATAATTCTAAAAATAAAAAAGGTTCTTGGGCCTTATCCCAAACCAAGTCTTCAGGGGTGGACCTGGGAGTTTGTATGTTTAAAAAACATTTTTTGTGGAGATGGGGGTCTCAGCAGCCAGTTCAGGCTGGTCTGAACGCCTGGGCTCCAGCAGTCCTCGAGCCTTGGCCTCCCAAAGTGCTGGGATTGCAGGTGTGAGCTACCATGCCCGGCCCGGAATTTGTATCTTTGAGGAGCTCCACCAGCAACTAAGATTAGGCAGCCGCCAAGTCCCAAGCCAAAGACGTCCTTCGAGCAACCACAGGCCCAGTCGACTTGGGGGCGTCCCGGCCTGGCACAGGTGAGCACCGGTGTCCACTTCCCACTCCTGGCTCTGCCCTGCATTGGGGCCAAGCCCTCCTGGGTGGTCCCAGGCTTAGGCTCCTTCACACAGGTCAGCCCCCTAGCAAGCGGTTGGCCAAGGAGTGGGCAAGGGACTCCCACTCCTTGGGAACCCATGGGAATCAGGCCCGGAATCTGAAGAGGGGGAACACAGGGAAGAAGTCTCCAGAAGGTAGCAAGTGGGCCTCAGGCGGCCACCGAGTGGCCTCGAGGGACAAGCCTGCTGGACAAGGGACATATGCCAAGGCCCTGGGGATGGAGAGACCATGCTGGCCACCAGATCCCAATGCTGGCCTCACGAGAGGATCCACAGTCCCCCATGATGTGCAGGGCGGACAAAAGGTGGCCAGAACCCCAGATGGCTCCTGGGGTGGGGGAAATTCCTGGGGGGCAATTGAAGCACCATGAGGAGCTTGGAGACACCAGGTGTGTCCCGGGGATCTCCTGAGAAGGCCCCAGCCCACAGCAGGTCCTGTCCCCGGCGGTCTGCAGCTTGAGGTTCCAGCTACCTTGGGGAGCCCTGGGTCCCGACTCACCTTGCCCGGCGCACACATCGTCCCATCCAGAGGGGGCCCCTTCTTGGTCTTGCAAAAGTAAGGGTTGTCTGGGTGGCTGCACCACAGCTGCTTGCAGGGGTCGAAGGTCCGGAACTGGAAGAGAGTGTCTGCAGCTTGCCGGGACGCTCTCGCGGCAGGGACCGCCAGGGTGCCCCCAGCTCAGGCCCTAGAATCCATGACACCCCAGTGGGACTGGCCAGCGACAGGCCTGTATGGCTGGCGGGGGCCATGAGCCTGGCTGGTTCTGGGTGGCGAGGGCCGGGCCCACACAGCACAGGGGCTTCGGTGGCCCTGCGTGTGGCCCTCAGAAGCCTCCCGTCTCGGGGAGGTTGGCAGCGGGGGGGCTCCCTGACCCTGCTATGGGTGCACCTTCATGAGGCCTGAAGCCCCCCGCCCCGTTCGCCCAGGCCTGCACCCAGCCCAGCCTCTGCCTCTGTTCCCTGGGCCTCAGGGTCATCTCGTCCCTGGCCGTCCTGCTTTCTGTCCTGACAGCACGTCCTCCAGGACGACCCTGGGGAATCGGCTGATGCCTGGCTCTGGCTGTGACGCTGTCCTGTGGACACCTCTCCAGAACTGCCATCGTGTGAGAATGGAGTGCACCGTGCCCCTAAGCAGTCACGGAAGGAGTCAGACCCCCCACTTCTGTGCCGAGTCCACCACTGGCTCGCTGTGGGGCTCAGGCGGCTTACCTAACCCCTCCGGGCCTGTTTCCTGGTCTGCAACATGGGATTACCTTGCTTACTTTTTCACGCAGTAGAGACGAGCATTCAGACGGACACTCACAAACACAAAACTCTGGCGGCACGGCCTTAATCCTGAACAGCGGGTTCCTGCAGACGGCTTGGCCCACACACGTGGCCCTGGGAGCGGCTGGGGCTCCCCTGCCGCCGTGTTCTCTCCTCTAGGCCTCGGTGCCTGCGATTCCCACCTTCTGGGGTGCCCTCTCCCTGACTCCATGCCTCGCCTCATCCTCTGGGAAGCCCTTGCGGCTCTGCAGTCCACCACAGGGTCAGACTCCACGATCCCCAGCCGAGCCTCTATCGCAGCCCCGTGCTTCCCGCCCTGGACCAGCCTGCGCCCTGGGTTTGCCCCGCCGGCCCCCAGGTGCCCGGGCCGCTCACCGCAGTGCACGTCATGTAGCCCAGGCCGAAGTCGAAGCGGCACTGCTCGTTCATGGAGTAATGCAGGCCGGGGAGCTGGGGCAGTGCCGGCCAGTCGTGGGCGAAGGGGTCATCCCGCAGGCAGTCGTAGGAACTGGGAGGGGACACGGCACCCCCGGCGGCCTTCAGCAGGGCAGCTGTCCCCCCGGGAGGCACGGGCCCCTTCTGCGTGGCGCCGCCCGTCTCCCTGTCCTGGGTGAGCCGCCCTGCCAGCGCAGACCCCCTCTCGACTCCCGCGTCCCCTCTCCCCGCCTGCTCACTGGGGGCCCGGAGGCCGAGGGCTCGGCCAGGACGTGGGGGATCGGGGCACTCACTGCAGGTAGCGGCTCAGCTCCTGCTGGCTGCAGCGGGACCAGTGGAAGCGGTGGAAGGCGGCCTGCACCAGCGGCGCCATGATGCTGCCCAGCCGCACCTCATCGCCACAGCGGTTGCCCTGCCCGTCGTGCTCCATGCCCAGCCTGCGAGGGGGCAAGGTGGCTCGCTGGGCCCTGTGGCGCACAAGCCTGCCAGCACCCCGCCTGCCCGGGGCATGGGGCGGCCACGTGCCCCTGGCCTCCTGGCCGTGTGGGCCTCTGAGCCAGGCGGTGCTGCCGGCCCGCCCGCGGCTGTCTCGGGGGTGGCACGCGGTGGGTAGCCCCCGGAGCCCTGTCCCCCGGAGGAGCCCGTCATGGACAGCACAGCGGAGGCAGAGGCGCCTGCAGCTCCTGGTCACACTCAGTGCATCCCGACATGCTTGTCTGGTCCCAGCCTCAGGGGCTCAGAGGGTGCTGGGACAGCGCCATGGCTTCCCTGCCTCCAGTTCTCGGTCTCAGACGAGCCTCCCCCGGAGCCTCAGAGAGGCTAAAACAAGGGGTGGGAGTCCGCCCTGCCTGATGGCTTGGGCAGGCTGCTCCTGCCTGGCCCGAGCACCCCTGGCCTGTGGGCACACTCTCCCTTTGGTTTGTCTGATCAGCCAAGAGTGGGCCTTGGGGGTTCCTGGGCAGGACAGGACACCGTGTCCCAAGTGGTTTTCCCCCAGGGCAAGTCCCCTTGAGGCACGGGGGAGAGTGGGCAGCCAGGGCAGGGGACGTCTGCGTGGCCCTCCGAACCCCGCCCCTTACACATGGCCGGTCTCATGGGCCACCACAAATGCCGAGGAGAAGCCGTCCTCATGGTTCAGGGTGCAGCTGCGGACAGGGTGGCACATCCCGGTGACAGGAGCGTAGCCTGGGGGAGATAAGAGGGGTCTCCAGCTCCTGGCCCCGAGCACAGCCTGAAGCCACCACCCTAACGGACAGCCCTGGACTAACTGCTGCTTCTCCCGGGACACCCAATGTCCCCTCATCCCCAGAGCTGCCCCTTAGCCGGCATAGCTCAGAAGACTCCCCCCTGGCAGCAGGCCCCCAGCCCATTGCCACCTGAGCCCTGAGGTTGCCCTGACAGTAGGTGACCTCATTGCAGCTGAAGGCCGCGCCCCCATCTAGGCATCCCACGCTAGGTACCGTCTGCCACCTTGGTGGCTTCCTGACCCGCCCGCCTCGCTGAGTGACCCCTGGCAGCACGGGGCTCCCACGCCCGTCTCTCTGCTGGGGCACTCTGGCCCCTCGTCTGCCTGGCATTGCCCCCGCCAAGCCTGCCTCCTCTAGGGGACCTTCTCTGGGGCCCTTAAGACCCCAGCTAGTCCCCTTTCCAAGATGCCACAGGAGGTGGCCAAGCCACTCACCCAGAGTCTCGCAGCAGGGGACGGGCTGCTGTGGACCGAGGCCAGACTGGCCGTCGGAGCCGAGGCCAGCGGCCCATGGCAGCCCGGGGCTGGGGGTGGGTAGCAGAAGGTCATGACACTGAGACTCCAGGTAAAATCAAGGAGACCAGAGGATAGGACCTGGCCACCTGCCCGGGCTCTCGCCTCAGCAGAGGAGAGCGGCTGGGACAAGACAGAGAAGTGGGTGGCCAGCTGTGGGAGCCACAGGGCCCTCTGCTTGTACCTGCAGGGGCCAACTCCCAGAACCCTCCCCTGCCTTCATTCCTGCCACACCCGAGAGACCCCAAGGCAATCTGTTCAAAGAGAACGACAGAGAAGGGCAGGAGGGCCGGGGGTCTGGGGTGAGTGGCGTCTGGACCTGTCGGTGAAGACATTGTGAGCGCACCCTCACCTCTCCCCCTTGGAACAAGCAGGAGAGCCTGTGGTTTTTGTTCTGTATACTTTGAGATAATCGTTGAGTCCGTGTGCCAGAGCGAAACCCTAGGTCTTCTTCTCTGTGTCGGTTGCATGTGAATCCTGTTCTGTGCATTTTTCATGCACCCTATTAACATACGACACGAGGCTGTAAGGTTCGAGAAGGTAGTTTTTCATTTTCTTTATTTCCGTCCCTCTTATTCTATGTTGCGGCCATTCTCGCTTTCTGGAATCTTACTAGACAGATGTCGTACCTCCTGGATGGAGCCTCTGTCTCCAGACTTTTCTCTCCATCTTTTTGTCATTTTGCTCCCGATTTAGAGATGTCCTTGACTTTTTATTTCAGCTTCTGAATTTTTTGTTACCCATCATATCCTTAATATCAAACAAACTCTTCGTTGTTCTCTCATTCTTTGTAGCAACATATTCTGGGTTTATGAACGTATTTTCTCAACATTCTGGGAATACTACTTTTTAAAACATTCCTTTACAACATCTAAATTATCTCTATTTCCTCTGGAGTCAGTTTTCAAGCTTTACGTTGTGTTTTCTATCTTGGGCCATCTTCATGCTGTGAGTTTTTGTTTGTTTGTTTGCTGGTTTTTTAAATACCAGGGGTTACCCAAAAAAGTCAGAATTTATTTATAAAAAACTGTATGTCTATTCTTATACGTTTAAACTTCAGTCACCTTCAAAGTACTCTCTGTTGGGTGCAATACACCTCTCAAGATGCTTCTTCCACTGCGCAAAACAGTTTGTGAACTCGTCACTTTTGAGGCCTTTTGGCGTTTCTGTCATTTTTCACTTCATCTCTTCCACATAGGCACAGCATTTCCCCTTGAGGACTTTTTTCATCCAGGGAAACAGACAAACAAAAAAGTCACTAAGGGTGGGATGGGGTGGACAGGGCGGGTGGGGCACGGGGGTCATGCTGTTTTGGGCCAAAAACTGCTGAACACTCAGCGCAGTGTGGGCGGGTGTGCTCGTAGATCACTCATCATGCAGGACATGGGCAAACGCACTGAAAGAATTTCCTCTCCCCAAACTCACTGAAGCTGAATGCAGCCTCTCACGACAATGCTAGCTGGTACACTGATGCCAGCGGGTTGCTAGAACACTTACCAAGTAGGGGAAGCCTGTACTCCAAGGGGCCTGCCCTTGCAAAAATAATTCCGGGTTTTTGGGGTCCCCCTAATATCTGATAACCCTGGGCTGACTTTCCGTGTTTTAAGCTTAAGGTCCTGTTGGCTTCCTCTCCTCGGAGGCAGTTCTGCTTTCCATTAGGGCTCTCCCAAGACCAAAGCACCAGGTGAGCACTCTTATCACATGGGTTGGGCACATCAATGGCTGCCTTGCATGTGGGGGCAGCCAGCCACATCCTCCTGAGACATGGCATTTTCAGTTTTTGCTGCTGTCGTTGTTAAAAAATTCCGTTAGGTGTGTCTTGATAGTGCACGGTGGGCTCAATTGCATTTCTCTAATGTCTACTGTAGTTAAGCACTTTTTAATCTATTATCTATCTATCTATCTATCTAGCTATCTATCTATCTATCTATTGAGTTGGAGTCTCACTCCTTCGCCCAGGCTGGAGTGCAGTGGTATGCACGCTCATGGCAACCCCAGTGTCGACCTCCCGGGCTCTGGCGATCCTTCCGCCTCAGCCTTCCAAGTAGCCAGAACTACAGAACTACCACGCCTGGCTACTTTTTATTTTATTATAGAGATGAGGTCTCACCAAGTTGCCAGGCTGGTCTCGAACCTGCGGGCTCAGGTAATCCGCTTGCCTCAGGCTCCCAAAGTGTTGGGATTACAGGCTGAGCCATCGAGCCCGGCCTAATCTATTTATGGCTCATTCATATTTTGTGAAGAGCCTGATAAAGCCTCTTGCCCATTCTTCTTCCAGATTGTTTGTCTTGTATTATCATTACTATTATTTGTAGGCATTCCTCATGTACTTAAGCCATTTTTTAGATGTGTGTTTTATAACTGTTTCCCCCCCAGCGGATTAATAGCACCTTTAACACACACACGTTTTTAAAGTCAATGTGGTGCTACTGATCAATCTTTTCCATTGAGTTGGTGCTTCTTGTCTCTTTTTAAAGGAAACTTCCCTTATTCCAAGAACACAGAGCTATTCTCCTACATTACCGTCTGTGAGTTTTATTATTTCCCCTTTCTTGTTTAGACCTAAAATTCAATGTGCGATGCTCTTTGTGTCTAGAGTGAAACAGAAGCACCAGGCTTCATTCTCCTCCCAGTCCAGATATTCAGTGGCCCCAAGACCATTTGTTTAAGAGACTGTCTTTCCTCTCTATTCACAAGGGTCACCTTTGCAATAAACCAAGTGTCCACACACGCATAGGCTCAGCTCTGAGCTCCGTATTCTGCTTTAATTATGTATGTATCAATCCTTGCATCAAAACCATACTTTCTTTAATTATTGTATTTATGTAAGTATGGAATAATTTGCTCTTCTTAAGTTGTTCTTGGCTAGTCTTGGTTCATTGCGTTTTTATGTATAAATACTAGAATCAACTTGCCAATATCCTGGAACTGAACTTGCATTGGAGTGTACTTTCACTGACCCTATCAATCAATTAGAGAAAACTGATAATCTTTACAATTTCAAGTTTCTTTATATATAAGCAAGGCATATCCCTGCCTTTGTCTTTTATGTCTATCAAAGATGATTTACAGTCTTCTGGATTAAGTCTTGGATCTATTTCATTAGAATTATTCCTAAGTATTTTCTAGCTTTTATTCTGTTATAAGTAGTAACAGTTTTTAAATTTTAGTTTCCATTTGTTGTTAGACTATAGAGATTCAATTAGCTTTTTATAGACTGACATGATCTCCATCAATCATGGTCTAATTAATTAATAATTTATTGTGTTTATTTTAGATTCCCTATGAACACAAGCATATCATCTTCAAATGAGAACCTTCCATTCTGATCCTTATATTTTCATTTCTTTTTCTTGCCTTATTTTGCTGGCTAGGACTTCTACTATGACACTGAGCAGAAGTGGTAATAAACAGGCATTACTGTCTCATTCTCAGTCTAGAGAACACTTTGCCATTATAGATCACGTGTGTTATTGATTTTTTATAAAGATCCGTTACCATACTAAGAAAGTTTCCTTCTATTCCCAGTCCCATAAAACATTTGATCATAAATGGATCTTGATTTTTGTCAAATACATTTTCTAGGATCAATTGAGATAGTCATGCAATGTTCTCCTTCATTCTGTTAATGTGGCAAATTACAATGATTGATTTTCTTTTCTTTTCTTTTTTGAGTTGGAGTCTCACTCTGTCACCCAGGTTGGAGTGCAGTGGCACACTCATGGCCACCCCAGCATCGACCTGTTGGGCTCAGGTGATCCTTCCACTTCAGCCTTCCAAGTAGCCGGAACTATAGGCATGCACTACCACGCCCAGCTGATTTTTTATTTATTGTAGAGATGAGGTCTCACCAAGTTGCCCGGACTGGTCTCAAACCCCTGGCTCAGGCAGTCCTCTTGCCTCAGCCTCCCAAAGTGCTGGGATTACAGGCTGAGCCACCAAGCCTGGCCAATTGATTTTCAAATGTTAAGCCAAACTTGCATTCCTAGAATAGACTTAAATTAATTGTGGCATGGTACCTTTAAAAAAATCTAGCACCAGATTTGATCTACTGATGTTTTGTTTGTTTATTTTTATCTATAACATGAGAGATATTGGCCTAGAGATTATTTTCTTATAACGTCCTTCTCAGATTTTGGCATCAGTGTTATGCAGACTTTCTTAAAATTAAATGGAAAATGTTCCTTCTCTTTTCATTCTCTGGGAATGTGTGTATGATTGGTATTATTCATCCCTAAACATCAGGAAGAATTATCTAGTGAAGCTAGGAAGTCCTGGAGCTTGCTTTCAAGAAAGTTTTTTTTATTGCAGATCTAATTTCTTTTTTCTTTTTTTTTTTTGAGTTGGAGTCTCACTCTGTCGCCCAGACTGGAGTGCAATGGCCGCTCCTGGCCACCACAGCCTCCGCCTGCTGGGTTCCGGCGATCATTCCGCCTCTGCCTTACAAGTAGCTGGAACAACAGGCGTGCGCTACCACGCCCAGCTAATTTTGTTTTGATTTACTGTAGAGATGAGGTCTCGCCAAGTTACCCAGGTGGGTCTCGAACCCACGGGCTCAGGCAATTCACTCACCTTGGTCTCCCAAAGCGCAGGATTACAGGCTGAGCCACCGAGCCCGGCCTCAGATCTAATTTCTTTAACAGACACGAGACCATTCAGATTTTCTATTTATTCCCTCAGATTTTGTGTTTTTTCCAAGGGATTTGTATTTTTTGTCTAAGTTGGCAAATGTATTGACATAGAGTTGTTCAAAATATCTTACTATCTTTTAAAATTCTATAAGCTATATAGTAATGTTCCTTTTATATTCCCCATCTTAGCAGATTGGCACAATCTGTGCTTACTTTTTTTGAAATGAGCATGGCTAGGGAATTTTCCTGTTCTGATCCACGTTTTTCGAAGAAGCAACTTTTGGTTTTCTTGTTGCTCCCTGCTGCACAATCGCCTTCCATGTTAATCATTCTGCCCTTGAGAGCTTCCTTCCCTCTGCTTTTGCGGGAGATGGTTTGCTGTTCCTTGTCGAATTTCTTGAGACAGATGCAGATAAGACTGACTTTCAGCCTTTCCAAGATAATAAACGCACTTGAGGCTACAGCTGTCCATCTGATCGTTAGGTTAGCTACATCCTCACATTTTGATCTCCCAGATTCTCCTCATCATTCAGTTAGAAATGTGTTCTCACTTTTTGGACCCGTGGAGTGTTTATGAGTGTACTGTGCAATTTCCAAACATTTAGAATTTCTCATCTTTCCTTTCCCGTGTGGTCAGGGAACACACTCTGTGTGATTTTCTTAGATTTGCTGAGATTTCCCAGTGGCCCACACAGTCTGGTTGGGTGTATCCTCACATGCACTTGCACAGAGTGCATGTCCGCGAATGGCTGGCCAAAGCGTTCTGCATGCATCCATTAGGCCAAGGTGCTTAATTCGAACCTTTTATATATCTGTGGGTTTTCTTGTCTGTCATTCTGTCAGTTGCTAAGAAGAGTCCTGGCAATTTATTCAACTCGCCCATTTCTTCTTTTAGAGCCATCAGTCTGATACCGTTCGAGTCATTATGTAAAAATCTCTAAACTTTTAAAGGTTGGAAACACATGCGATCTGTGTTTTAGAAATGGGGAAGGCAACGAACTCTGAAGCCCAGGGACACACCTCGTCAGGTCCTTGGCCAACCACGCCCGGACTCTGCCCATTGCACCACCTCCGGTCTTCCTCGGCCCCCAGAAGATGCAGTTTTGGGGGAAGAGGCAGAGGCCTGGATGACTTTCCAGAGCCGGGGGGCCACCAGCGCTGACCCAGACTCTCACCCGGCTGCGGGGCACGGCCTCCCTGCCTGGGCTCTCTTCCCTGGCCTGGGCCAGCCCGCCCGGGGAGGGGGGACCCTCACGTGGCCAGTGGCTGGTCCCGGCCTCCCTCCGCCCTGTGAGGCTCACCTTGCATGCCCGAGGGCCCAAAGTCCTGCCGTGTGAGGAAGATGGCGTGGTCGTGGTATTCGTCGTGGCCCGCGTCCGGCTTCTGCTGGAGGTAGGCCCAGCGGCAGACATTCTCCAGGCTCTGGGAGGGGTTCCCGATCTCGATGAGGCTCGTGGACTGCAGGGAGGGAGGAGCGGAGGGTCGGCGTCCAGGGGGCTGGGCGAGCAGCAGCAGTGCTAACAGACCCCATCCGCCAAGGACCCCGTCCAGGTGGCACCAGGGCCCTGTCCCGTCACTCTCAGGGCCCGCCCCACCTGGCCCATTCTTCTGAATGGAAGGAGAGCCTCCTCGGCCACACTCACGCGCGCGAGTTTCTGCACAAAGTCACTGCGTGGATTTCAGGCCAGATGCAAAAGCAAAGCCCTGAGGTCACCCACGGCCTCGCCTGGCCCCTCGCTCCACCCAGCTCCAGCAGTCCTTGTGCTCTTAGGCCTTGGACGGGGGCTCAGGTCAGTGTGGACTTCACCCCAAAGAGCTCATAGCTCTGGAAGTGTCCAGGCCACGGGAGGTGGAAATCCCCACAGGGTGTGCGAGCCCAGGATGGGGGGGTGGGAGCCGGCTTGGTGCCCCTGCTTGAACCCAACACACAGAGGAAGAGAAACCGCAACCAACACAGCAAAGGAGCCATGAAGACCAGGAGCGTGGACAGCCATTCCCACGGGGGCCAGGGCCAGGACGCCCCTGGGAATAGCCACATCCCGTTCTGTATCGTGACACACCCCCGACAGCCAGGCTGCTACGTGACCGACCGTCCTGCACACACCCCACACCTGACTTGGCAGACGCTCTCGGTCAGTCTTCGGGACTGAGGACGAAGCCCTGGACAGGAAACTGAGGCAGGAGGAAGTTAAGCGACTTGTGGAGGAACTAAGCCCCGAACCCAGGAAGCCTGAAACTGAAACCTGATTCCGCCCGCTGCCCCCAATAAAACGCAGACAGAAGCGTCTCAAAAGCAGGGCTCCCGGGAGCGGCATGCTTCCCGCGGCCTCCACGATCCTCGCAGCGGGCACACCGGCTTCTGTCCTCACCACACACTCCCGCCACCGACGCACTTCCCTCCAGGAAGATCAAGAGTCCTTCCAAGAGTCCCGGGCACGGTTTTGTTTTTGTTTGGATCCTCTGTAAAGAGTCACCTGGCCATACAATGGAGATGTGCCTTCCTGGGTAGACAGGTACCCAGGCGCTCTTTCCCGTGCATAAATATGCCCACAAAGTAGACACACCTAGTTCACTTCATGTGTACAAATAGCAAAGAGTAGATATAGGGTCCCGTTAGTAAGCCAGGCAGTTTCCGGCCGGGGAAGGCAAGTCATGCAAGGAGGTCCTGCGTGTTATCTGAGTCAACGACTTCCAGGACGGCAGAGCGACCCCAGGCCCCAAGCCCAGAGCCGACTGTGAACTTTGGGGGACAGATGACTCACCACACCAAGGTGTCAGTGGGTGCTGTGAGCCAAGTCATAAACCAGAGTGAGTCGTCTTGTTACCAGGACTTGCTGGACATTGGCACAGGGTGGCCAGCCCAGAGGGAGCTAGAGGACAGGGGGCAGGTGAACTTCCTGCCCCTGCAGGACTGCCCGGAGCGTGTGACCAGCTCCGGCCAGTGACTGTGAGCCAGGGTAGAGTGTGTCTCCTCCCGACTGAAGCATTTAACTGCCTGCTGAGACCTGACGGAGAGTGCTGCTCTGTGACGCAGCATCCCGATGGGGACGGCCCGGTCACCCAGGCCCGAGGGACGCTGAGACCAGACTCCTCGGCCGACGCGCACGGAATGGGTCGCACGAGCAGAAAATGTGGTTTCACGGCACCGAGATGCAGCGTGTGTGTCTCTGCAGCATCGCCTCCCCCGCCCTGACAGGCGGGAGGCACGGGGAGGGGATTGGACATCTGAGCCAGACCCCCAGCCCGAGTCCTTGCGGGTCGAACCTGCCTCCAGGCAACCTTGGGAGGTCACAGCTCTGAGGGAGGGATCAGGCACAGGGCCCGGCTTCCCCACTGTGTCCAGCGGCGGGAATGGGCGTCGGGGCAGGGAAGGACGGAATCCTCGTGCATGGCTCTGACCTGGTGCCAGAGTCTGGGGCCTCAGGGTTGCTTGTGCACCCCTGATCTCACGATGGCCAGCACAGACACAGACAAGAATGGAGGACGTCGTTATGTGAAATGGGCCAGGTCTGGAGAGGCAGAGGCCACGTGTTATCACTCCCGTGTGAGAACTGGAAAAAGTGGGTCTCACAGAAGCAGAGGCCAGGACAGTGCTTACCAGGCGCTGGGGAGCAGGGAAGGAGGACAGCCAGAGGCTGGTTCATGACACAAAACTCCAGCTAGTGTCCTCAATGCTGTAGGGTGGCTATAATTAACACTTTTTTTTTAGTAGGGGTCTCACTCTGTCGCCCAGGCTGGAGTGCAGTGGCACGATCATAGTTCACAGCAGCCTCGACTTTCGGGGCTCAGGCGATCCTCCCGACTCAGCCCCCTGAGAAGCTGGGACTACAGGCGTGCACCCCCGTGCCTGGCTAATTTTTAAATTTTTGGTAGAGACAAAGTCTCACTATGTTGCCCAGGCTGGTCTTGAACTCCTGGGCTCAAGTAATCTGCTTGCCCCAGCTTCCCAAAGTGCTGGGATGACAGGTGTGAACCATAACCCTCGGCCTGACACTTTATTGCATATTTTCAAATAGCTAGAAGAGCAGATTTCGAATATTTCCAACACAAAGAAATGATAACTGTTTGAAGAGAATGATATGTGAATTACCATGATTTGATCATTACCCATCGCCTACATGAATTTCAGTATTACACTGTACCTCATAAATATGTTCAATTACTCTGTGCCAGTTAGGAGTACTAGTAAAAGCAAAAAGAAAACCCAAACAAGAACTATATTTTAAAATAGCTGAAAAGGGCTGGGTGCAGTGGCTCACGCCTGTCGTCCCAGATACTCGGGAGGCCAAGGCGGGAGGATCCCTTGAGCTCTGCAGGTCGAGGCTGCAATGAGCTGTGACTGCACCAACACGCCGGAGCAAACCTCATCCCTAGAAATAAGAGATAAAATGAAATGAAAGATTGCCAGCCCAGGTTCAAGCCAAAGGGCAGCACAAAGCCGCTGATGACCACTTTCTCTAGGGTGGTTCGAGCCCCTGGAGCCCGGGTCCCCCACCCACGATGCCCGACCCCGCCCGGCAGCCCCCGTTGGCTGCCTCCAGGGAAAGGGCCGTGCTTATTCCAGAGCGCGTCCCCAGCCCCGGGGTCAGGAGCCCCCTGCCCCCGAGGAGCCTGCTGCCCTTGGGGTTCGGAGCCCTGCCGGGGACAGTCTGGTGGGTGGGGCCTGCTCTGCCTTCTCCATGCCAGCCCCGCCTCCCTGGGGTGAAACAGCCCCTCCTTTAACCTGGGCCAGACCCTAGGCTCTGGGGCTGGGAGGGCCCGGGCCTGGCCAATCCCAGCACTGCATCTTCCCGGCCATCAGGACGGTTCAGGGGTGGACACTTGCCCAGAGCGGGCCAAGGTGTCAGCAAGGCGTGAGCCGCTGACGCTGCAGCTGCCGGAGACCGCCACAGCAGGGGCGACCCCTAAGGATGAAGCCAGACCGAGCGGAGCGGAACAAGGGTGGCGTGGGGAAGGGATTCCCGGCGTTCACACAAGTACCCAGTCTGTCCCAGCCTGAAGCCTGCCCGCCATGCGTGCCCTCTAGCGTGACACCACAAACGACCCCCCATGCAGCCCGAGGAACCAAACGCCTGTCATCTCACGTTTGCTTCGGCTCAGGAACCCAAAAGTAGCTCATCAGGGTCCCTCCGACCCAAGGTATCTCCGGAGGTCGCCTGAGGCTCATCCGAAAGCCCCCGGGGGAGGGCAGCTCCCAGCTCCCTCGCGTGGCGGCGGGCTGGCTCTGACCCTCGGGCTCCCGCCACACAGCGTGGCCTCTGCCCAGGGCCGTCTCCCACGGCAGAGTTCCCAGCACGCGCGGCCCGAGACAGCAAGAGGACACCCATACACCACAGAAGCCCCAGTCTGCTTATAATCTGAGCTCCACCCAGCCCACACTCGGGCGTGGGCCCGACGCCAGGCCGTGAACACGGAGAGGCAGGGTCGCCAGGGACGGTGCTGGAGGCTGCCTGCCGCAGACGCGTCTCACTTGGGTGTCGAGAAACTCCTCCTCTCGCCAAAGCCGAGTCCGAGTGGTGTTCTTGTCACCTGCAGCTAAGACAGTCTGAGCAAAGCACTTCCTGCCGTGGGGACTCCAGTCAGGCAGGCAAGTGAAAGATGGCGGCTGGTCTGCAAGGAGCCAGCGGGAGAGGAGCCCTGGCCAAGCCTTCGAGAGAGAGTCTAGGGTCCAGCCAGAAAGTCAACATCAGGACCAGAGATAGACACAAGGCCGGGAGGGATCAGAGCCAGCCTGAAGTAGGGCTTGGGAGCAAGCAGGCTGGGGTGTCCAGAGCCCACCACCTTCAGTGCATGGTTCGTGGGCAATTCTGGAACGTCACTACAAGCCCAAGCGCCCACAGGGGCGAGGTCGGTGACACCAATAGGTGAGGCAGGCTGGTTGTTTTTCTCGCTTTCCAGTTGTGAAGGGGAAAGGGTACAAGGGATATGTCCCCATTATGATAAAGTGGGGCAATAAGGAGTGGTGAGGGTTGTGGCAAACCCCTCCACGCAGCCGGAGCGGGTGATGTCTACTCCGCTCTGGCAAGAGCAGAGGCCTGGAGCAGCCAGACTGGATTTCTCAGGTCCGTTACAAAACCTGGATTTCACAGATGCCTCCCGAATAGTAGTCGCGGGCTCAGCTTAGGTAAGTTCTGTGGAAGTGCAACATGCCCCCATGTTGCCGGTTGCAGATCCCTGGCCCTGGCAGGGACAGCCCCTTCTCCATGGCCCTGCAGACGGGACCGACCCTGGCTGCTCCACTCTCCCAGCTGCCGCCTCCATGGCTCAGCCTGGGCCCCAGGCCTTTCGGCGGCCAAAGCCGTCTCGCTGCTGCGGCAAGATAATTTATTGAAATATCGATCTGCGTCTTTGGGAGGCTGAGGTGAGTGGATTGCCTGAGCCCGCGGGTTCGAGATCCGCCCGGGCAACTTGGTGAGACCTCATCTCTACAATAAATCAAAAATTAGCCGGCCGTGGAA